TTCCGGATTTAGGGTTTAGGGTTCAGGGTTTCGTAGTCTAATTCGATAATGGGTTCTTACCCAAAAGTCCAAAACACGAATCTGTTTAGTGAAGTCCCATCTTAGGTTTGCTGTTTCGGGCTTTGCATTGTTGGGTCTCCCCCAAAGCCGACAGTGCTGATGTTGGTCGGGTTGGAGCCGAAGGAGTAGTAGAGGGGTCTTAACAATTGATTTCAATATGTTCGACAATAGATAGGAGATAGATAGATAAAAAATATATAACCCTAAGGGTCCAAGTAGTCCTTATTTATGGTTTTAGGTACCCATAAAAAGGCCCCAAAGTCCTTAAATAATGAATACTTGGACCCTTAGGGTAAGGAACACCAAGAATCAAGAAATAGTACCAATGTTTAAGTCCTAAACCGCAGGGGTCCGCATACCTTAGTATCATGAACGCTGTCCCTTTTAAAGTTCCCGATTCAGAATTACTCCCGCTATGGTCCCCAAAAAAAATCACGAAGGCAATTGGCATGCCCTCCAAGACCAACATAAACCCTCAACTGAGCCCAGTAAGGGGCGACCTAGTCCCTATACGCCACAGAGCCCTATATATGAGGTTGTTCTATACGAGCATAGGGGTCTAGGGGTTTAGGGTTTAGCTTGTCCTTCTGTGCCTATACAGCCACAAAATCCAAAGTGTTCCACCCGAATCAAAGTGCCCTCAGCTAGCGGATCCTGTAAACCCCATACCCTAAACTTACTATCCTGAACGACTTCCGCAAACCCTCAACTATGACCCCAAACAGCTTTTGAACTGCCTCAGGCCTAGACTATGCCCCTACAACCTTGAAAATCCCCAAAAGGAGCCCTTATAGAACCCTTAAAGAAACCTTAAGTAAAAGAGCCCTTAGAGGCTTATAAGCCTTTGAAGAGCCCTTAAAGGCAACGTTATAGGCTTGTAGATCCCTTAAATCAACGGGCCCTTAAAGGAACCCTTGTAGCCGAGCCTAGTGCCGGGGCTGGCAGCGAGCGCGCGCGTCGCATCCTCCGGCCAAGGGACTCTCCAGATCGGGATTCGAAACTGTGGGGTCTTGGGTTTAGGGTTTGGGTTCAGGGTTTAGGTTCAGGGTTTGGGGTTCAGGGTTTGGGGTTCAGGGTTTGGGGTTCAGGGTCTGGGGTTCAGGGTTAAGGCTTCCCCTGAACAACCGAAATTGAAGCGCCTGACAGTCAACAGAAGCCTACACAGTTGCCGCCAGAGAACAACAGCATCGAGAAAGATCTGCAATGAGATATAATGGTCTGTCTTTGCCAACAAAACTGCCACTGTCAAGGGGAACCCAGCAACCCAAACCCCTAAACCCCAAGGCCCTAAACGTTCAAACCGCTGAACTCAACAACCCTGAACCTTAACACCCTCAACCCTAAACCCAAAAAATTCCCTAAACCCCAAAAAAGCTCCGAAGCTAAGCTCGAAAGATCTGAGGCCCAGGCTGTGAAGTGAAGTCCGCCTTAGATGCTCTCGCAAGGATTGGGGTTTAGGTTGGTTGGTTGGTT